AGTCGAGTACATTATTTAGTACGATGTGGATTTAGAGGTGAAAAGAGGACGAAAATGTGCGTGGTGCACGGCGGCAACGCTTATGAGGGAGCGGGAAGAAGATGAAGGAGATTGGAACGCTCGAAAAGCCAGGCGGGTCGAGGCAGTCAGACAGCAGGAGAGAACGAGGGTTGCGACGGCTACCGGTCCGTTGCAGCACCGAACCTCTCACTGGTGGACTCAAGGCGAACTTGGATGACGAGCGATGCCGGGCGACGACGATGCAAGCGTCTAGTCACCTAGGCAGGTGCGATAGCGATCCATCTATTCATTTATTGCCTGACACAAAGGTAAGAAAAGGTCTGAGCAACTTGAGGCAGACGTGGAAGAACGGTTCCGGGGGAATGTCGATTGGTTGGAGCAGGCCAGCCGGACGAATAACAGGAGGTTTGCCACGCTGGCAGTGCTCTCAAGTAGTGACATGGTGGCGCACAGAACGACATAGGCCCGTCTAAAAAAACCACTGCCACACGTGGTCATAGGTGCATGAAACGCCCAGATGTCCCACAGTCAGAGTATCATGTATATGTTGTAGTATGGTAGCACGCAGGTGTTGGCGAATAACCAACAAAAATTCCGGGCCATCAGTCTTTATGCAGCGGCAATACAGAATGTCATTAAAAAGAACATATTGGCTGAGTAAAGGGTTGTAATGTTCTAAGTATACTTGCTGAATGACCATTTTAAGGGTGGCATCCCGACGCTGCTTTGTGCCGATGTCATACAAATAAGATATGGCAAGAACGCAAGAATTACTGTCATTGACCGTGAGGCTAGCAGGCTCCAACGGATAATGCGAGAGACCATCGGCATCTTTGTTGCAGCCTGCCAGACTTGTAAAATTCATCTGTATATGGCATCCTAGCACATACTTTTCATATAATCTAAAGAATGTTGGCAGCAGATACGGCCTACATGTTGTTGTTTTTTTGCGCCCAACAAACTTAAAAAAGCTATGTTCCAGGCTGGATCGAAAACCGTCGACAAAAAAAGGATCGATTTCAGTTCTTCGTTAAACATGTTTCTATGTTTGTAGAGTGTAGTACTGTGGTGATATATTGTGTGCCTATGTAATGTGGAAAAATGTACGTACAATGGCCAAACTGGTCGGTGCGTGAATACTATTCTTTCAGAGCACAAGAGATGGTAGCAAGTGAGGCTTACTCTCACATTAGATGGCATTGCTAAGATTGTGGCTGCGTTCTGCTGTTCTCTGAGACTAAAATACTTTACAGTCACAGGAGTCGGGTGACCAGCAAAATTATCGAGGCATTCTACATTGCTAAAAGAAAAGATGATTGCATTTGCCAAGTATCGGTTAGTCTAAGTGATTGTGCAATGTCACTTTTGAAAAATATGTTATAATTTGAATGTCATTATAACACGTGGTACTCTATCATGCTGTATAATAAACATGTTTTTCTGCGAAATAAATGCGAGTGCAGCGGTGTTCCTTTATTTTTGTGTCTTGTCTCTCTGCACTGCTTCATAAGTAAGAATGAACTATCACCAGCTCGCCCAACTTTGAACGTTACTGAACGGCAATGTTGTGGAAAAGGGGCGAAGTCATGCCTTTCAAAATGATCATAACGACATCTTTCGTCTCATTCATGTCGTCCACAGAGCCTTCAAATGTGGCCTTGGAATCTGTAATAATAGCAAATCGGTTGAGATGGCTGCCAGGTGTTGAATAACGGGGTCATTGCTCTTAGTGACAGAGCATTGAATGCAACGTGTGTTGTTGGCCCATGCTGCAGTGATTGCTGAGAAACACGGGAAAGCAGCAACCACATCTTAGGTCGGCGCTGTTGCGGGATGCAGACTCGGTACTAGTTCTTTCCTCACGATATTGCGGAGGCTGTCTCCAGATGGCGTCGTGTGGAGCTTGAAAGAGGACAAAGCAGCCTGTATTTTCTGTTCCTCGTGAATCATAGACCAAATCATGAAGCAGCTCATTGTCAATTGTTGCTCTGAGATCGGCTGTGTCAGGTCGCAAACGAACAAGATCATCGAGGCCTAAAGTGCCTAAGTAATCGAAAAAAAAAAAAAAAATGCCCCTACCTCCCCGAAGGAAATCGAGATAAAATGCAAATGCATTTCTTGCGCCGAGAGTATACGGTGGAGTTAATTTAGTAGGTTAAATAATGACGAGACGAGTATTTGTACCGTAAACGTTTATTTACACATTCATCAGTACCTGTTTGTGTTATCATTGTACCCGACAGCCATAATCTCAGCATCTTATCAACACAAACCCTACAAAAACGCTGGCAGCACAAACGCTACAAACAAGTTTCAAACTCGCTGCATTGAGCTGGTGGCAAATCATGTTCAAGTCAAGGAGGTGGGGGCTCCGGTTGCTAAGGGCATGGATAAGTGGGTACACTCGCAGCTGTTGCTGACAGCTGCCAACACTGAAGCGTGATATGGTGGAAGCTCCGGTTGCTAGTGACGTGCGCGCCTGCAGCTGTTGCTATGTTGCTGTTGCTATGAGGTGGATGGATCCTGATGGGCACCTGACAAAACTTGACTAAGAAATGAATTCGTATTTGAAATAGTGTGAAACACAAGGCCATGAAAGAGGCAGATGAAGTGCTGTCGTCTCTTTTGCTGTCCCGTGTGTTGTGCTGCTTTTCGTTTCGTTGATCGTCGAGTCGCTGACATGTTCTAGTGATATCCGTGACTGTAATGGGGTTTTTTGCGTCAATAGCGTTGAATGCCACAGCACCTAAGCCTTTGAGCATGTGACAAATAAGCTTATTCTCTGCCATTAAGCTGTAGACACAGAGGCAAAGGGTGACGATATCTTTCATGTAGGAGGTGTAGGACTCTCCAGAGTGGTGGACATGTGCGGCAAGCTTCCGTTTGGAGATGTCTGCATGAACAGAAGGGCTCGCAAAGATCTGACGGAGCGGCTGCTTAAAGGTGGCCTAATTGGTGAAATTCAGCTCGTGGCTGAAAAATCAAGTCTTAGCGACATGGTGAAAGTCGGATAGAACATGGTGCAAGACAGTTTCGCAGAATCTAGCTAGTTTGTTAAGTGGACTTATGCTGTCGTATTCCTCCAACCAGTTTTTAATGTCTTAGGAGTGAAGGCCAGTGAACATTTGTGGATCTTTTTAAGAGGTGGTGACAGTACAGGAGGGGATGGATTGGAATGGGACCCAGTTGTTTGCTCATATTGCGACGTGGCCGAGGGCTTGCTGTGAAGGCAACAACCCGAACGTAGCTTCAGAGATGCTTTGTAGCTGAAGCTGGTGAACCGTTAGATGTTTGAGCAATAATTGGATATTCCATAGGCATATTTTTTTGTTATTGTGTGAAAAATATAGTCGAACCCACAAAGGGTTAAAAGAATATAGAGATTCCATTATCATTGCTCTGGAGAAAGAAAACATAGTGAATTTTAGTAATTCTGATGGTGTGGTTCTACTAACGTGCAAAATATATGCGTAGAAGTTTACGCGAGAACCTAGGTGACACAAGTGATAATGCCGGAACGTTCGATGACTGATCTATTAAAGACTGTTCCACCAATGATCAGATTACTCAAGTGGCAAGGATGGTTGTTACTGCTATCAGCGTACAGCGTCAATGGCTTGTATCTTGCCTCTTCCTTTTCTGGGCACAAGTTCGCCCAATGAAAAGTTTCTTATTCCTCATTCTTGCTGCAGTCTTCTTTTCTGTTGCTATCATGTGACTTCTGGTGCAGGTGCTGATTCCTTCATGTTCCGGATGCCAATGAAGTGCCAAGAGCCAGGCTCACAGTGTGAATAGGACACAGAAGCCCCCCGGCAATAACAAGCTAGCCTCAGACTACAAGGTTTTCAATTGGAGCACGAACCCTTACCTGTCAGTACAAAAGCCACGATGACAAAGCAAGCTTCCACGATGGCAGCACCGGTGTCGATGCTGCTTCAGCAGCTCGGGGAGCTATCTCTTGCGAGGATCTGAAAAGCTTGCTAGAAGCATATGACTGTATCGCCATCTTCAACCATTGAACAATGAAGACATGCTGCAGCATGTTTACTTTGCCTTTGAAGATGCTGCTAGGGCGTGGTTTGAAAACATCGCCCACCCTAGTATCACGGGGCATTTCTTATATTGGTTTCTTAGTTGCATTCACTAGTGTGGTTCAAAAAGTGGAGGCTGAAGCTATGCTTGAAATGTGTGTCCAGCTCCCCTATGAAAACTTCACGCTTTTCACAGAAGAAATGACACGTATTTTCGCTATGCACACACTGACAAGTCCAGTTCATCATGCGAGGAATAAAGCAGAAGCTCTGCACTGTGCTGATGAGAAATCCATCGAAATTTATCCAAGAATTCCTTTCGAAAGCATTGACAATTCAAAAGATGCTTGAGAAATGCACACAATTCAATCGATGGTAGACAGCCGGCGACACAGAAATACACCCACTCTTCTAATAATCTGCGTGAGACCATAAGCGGTGTAGGGTGCAAAGAACTTGGTTGAGTGTTGTCATCGTGCCAGCCTCAAGTTCCCTTGATCGCCAACATCATCCAAGATGAAACCCAGCTGTCTCTAAGCATGCCTCAGATGGCAGCCAGCTGTTATCTCAATGCTCGTGTGGAAGTATCTTTTGAGTGTGAAAAAAAATTTCTTTATAAAATGTACGATAACTTGTAGCTCGTTGTTTTCGGGGGTAGTGCAGGACAGCACAAATCTTCCCCCTTGTATTCACTGCTGGAAGGTTCTGCTGTGCCTTGATTCATATGATTGATATGTGGGGTTTAACGTCCCAAAACCACCATATGATCGTTTTGGGACGTTAAACCCCACATATCAATCCCCCGGCAATTGATGCATATGCCTACTCCATGTTGGCAGTCACATTAAAAATGATGAAGGAAGCAGGAGAAAGATGCTATGTACGTTCATAATGTGCGATTTGTATGTTCAGTAGAATTAATGTGGATTGGTTGTGTGGTGCAACCAGGTTGGTGCGAAGCTGGCTCGAGTCTGTGGAGTGCCTGACTTACCCATTTCGGTGGCCGCACGTGCGGGTGGGACTGCTACCAAAGAGCCTGCTGGCCCTATGCTCCTCAGCTGAACCATACTTGCTCGGGGTGCATGCTACTATGGCCCACACTGCACTTGAGCTGCTTTCGGGACCGGTGCGTCATCCTTTTGTTTCATTCTGTAGTTTGTGCAGCACCTAATTACAGTATTCTGTACTCGGTAATTTTCACTGTAGCCGTAAACACTATGCATTGCCAGACTGGTGTAGGGCATTAACGAGAAAAAAGAAACAACCCAGCAAAACGACACAAGAAAACAGTACTAAACAGAGTAATACAAAAGAAAGAGCACTTCGTTCTCTTATGTCAATCTGCTGCGCCGTTTCTTCTTTCTCGTAACCCGCTATACCAGTTGAAGTACGACGAAACAACTCGCACAGTCTTCAACACTTTCGGAATGCCAGAGTAACCTAATCACGTTTTACATGTACTTTTCTTCTTATTTGCAAAATCTTTGAAAATCAATTTTGTGGACTGAGAAAGGTTAATGGCTTAATCTTTTGCTATTTTGTTGAGACAGAAAGTTCATCTCTTCACAACTCGCTGGAATATTGGATTGATTATGGATTGGAATATTAGATTAGATTAGGCAATCCAACTAGTTGGATTGCCTAAAACGATATGCAAGCAGCTGTCAAGGTTACTGACATTTAAGCAGAATCTCATGCCAGCGGCCATTCTCAACTAGCTCTATTTTATTTATATACCTTCAAGGCCATTCCAGAGTTCCAGGATAGAAGAGCTTGTGGTAACTAGCCCAGAGTGACCTAGCCGGACTGAGAACCAACGCAGAGCGTTTTTTATTTTGCAGAAGAATAAGTATATATATAGGCGGCTTGCCTATGACGTAACACAAGTGGATGACGTTGAATACGTTTTGACACTGCACTTTTTATCACTTCTTCCTTTCTTTTAAAGATTGAGTCTTTGCACGGGCCTGCGTAGTCGGGTAGACCTTCGTAAGACTTGAGGAGTTGGGGAAGCAGCCACAGCTGGAAGAGATGTTGGTGGCGTTGCCGAAGGAACGGGAACAGTGTTCATGCATGCTGGAGTGTCCGGGCTTAATAGCTGCTCCAGTGGTGACGCTTGCTGCCCTGCGTTGTTGCGGCTGGGCAGTACCGATTCAGAAGTGTTCGCCTTTGGAGCCCCAGGTGACATTCACGGACGAATGGTCTAAGTGACGCCGGGTTGACCCTTCTGATGTGTTGACTTTCACGAGGTGCGAACCCTCAGAGCCTCTGATGATGCCTGGGCACCACCGTCTTCCGTGTCCAAAGTCGCGCACCCACACCGGGTCTCCGGGCTGGAATCTGGAAGGCTGCGAATGACTCCGAGATAAAGATGGCACGCAAGTATCCAAGCGTGAACGCACTTGAGAATTACGCAGCAGTTCCGAAGGAGATTTTCTGCACGATAGATGCGTGCGTTGGCAGCCTAGCAATACTCGTGCTAGTTGAACTTCGAGATCGTTTACCATCGAGTGTTTAACTAGACCATCCTTGATAGTCCGAACTGCACGTTCAGCAAGGCCACTCGATTGCGGGTGGTAAGGGGCACTGCGTAGATGCATTATGTTATCTGTCATGAACTGGGCAAACTGCTGACTTGCAAACTGGGGCCCGTTATCAGACAATACAGTTTGTGGCAAACCAAAACGTGTGAATAATTCGCGAAGCCGTGTAATTGTGACTTCGGTAGTTGCTGATCTGACTGGGAGGGCTTCGATCCACTTCGTGTGCAAATCGACGACTATGAGTAGCATGTGCCCCTCTATTGACCCAGTGTAATCAATGTGAAGCCGCGACCACTTCATCCCTGTTTCTGGCCAACTGATAGGCTCCTGAGGATGCGGCATTGCTTGAGCTTGTACACATGGCATGCATGAACGAGTGAGACTTTCAATCTCACCATCTAACCCTGGCCACCAGAACAATGTCCGAGCCAGTCTTTTCATCCCCGATGCTCTCTGATGTGACCGGTGTAACTCTGATAGCATGGGCTCCCGTGCCTTGCTGGGTATGATAACTCGATGACCCCAGTAGAGCAGACCTTCGGCGCTCGAAAGTTCCAGTCTTCCACAAAATAAGGTTGGAGATGACTGTGACATGTTGAGAAGCGTTTCGGCCATCCATTACGTATGAAGTTATGGACAATACAAAGATCTTTGTCCGCACTGGTAAGGGCCTTTAAAGCACCTGCTGGCACGTACGTACTCTCAAGCTGCTCCGTAGACAGCACGTATTGTGGCAAGGTTTCGGAGTGAACAACCTCTGGTGTCGGCACTGGCAAACGGCTAAGTGCGTCTGCATTGGCGTTTTGTTTCCCGGCCCTGTACTCAATACGGTACCGATATCGACTTAGAAACAGAGCCCTCGAATTCCGAAATGGCATTTTCAAAGCCTTGAAAACCTTTAAATATATTTGAGGTCTTTAAAAGTCTTTGAATTTCATCAATCAAAGTTCGTTCAGCCATAATCTAGCAGACTTTTTGCACGCCTAGGAACTATTTGCTTTCTGTAGCCAACAAACCAGCTAATTCAATCTGTTTTTCTAGCCGTATAGCAGTGTTGTAGTATATTCTAGGCACTATAGTTGTAGTACAGTGTACTCCTCTAGTACACGGTAGTTGTGATAGCGCTTGCATGGTTACAGCAGCAACGACGGAGCTAAGCCGGGCTTTTTTGTGGAGACTGTGCAAGTGTGCATGGATATCTGCAGTCGCTTATGGTAGAACTACAATGGGAAAGTGCGAATTCCAGCTGTCTTGGTTATGCATTGCTGCTTATAGGGAGTGTATTGCACCTGATACGTCAAACTCGCATTAAGCAGAGTTTTATCATATAGGAAGAGCTTTGATGTGTCATTAATGGGGAAGTCTGCCCTTAAAAGTCACATGAAGAGTACGAAACGCATTGAGAACACAAAAGCGACTACAGTTCATGGTAACTTTAGTTATGTTCGACTGTCATCAAGAGATGGGGCGCACACACCTCTGACATACATCTCTCTCTCTCTCTAAATATATATAAAGATGCCTTAGTATATATATATATATATATATATATATATATATATATATATATATATATATATATATATATATATATATATATATATATATATATAATATGTCACCGGAATAAAAGCAGTTCTTGTGTCACATGGCTTTATAGTGCATTCGTTATCCTCAGTCACACAGTGTTGCTGACACTACAATCTGGGGTCGAGGGTTTCGATCGCACTGCAATGGCTTCCGTAGTGCTTTCACCGTCGCCCCTCAAACTATGGACTCGCTCGATACGCCTCTTCAAGAATTTTCTTTTCGCGTCCGGAGCTGCCGCGACCTGCCTGCGCCCCGCCGTCGAGCCCTGCTGTTGCACTGCCTGGGCCCGAAAGAACGTGTTTTCGATGCGCTTCCACCAATGCCCGCAACACTCCAGCTATCGACGACTTAGCCATTGGCTGCCGTCGCTACCTCAATCGGTGAAGTCAAAGACCGTGGCGGGGCCTCCAATCAAGATTGACAACTGAACCATTGGCTGCCGTCGCTACCTCAATCGGTGAAGTCAAAGACCGTGGCGGGGCCTCCAATCAAGACACTGTGACAAGTCTTCCAGACGTATGCCTTGTTTGTCGCTTTCGAAATAAAGCGAATATAGATTGTCTACATGCTCAAATATATTCCTGAGTCCTACATGCGCAATGTACGTAACGCACTGCACTTTTTTCGATGATACCTAGCAACTACTTGGGCTCACCTGGACAAAGGCCTTGGACTAGAATGTTTTTGCCCTCTTTATAAGCTTTCTATGGCTCTCTTTATCGACTTGGCCCTTCACTTTGGAGAAAATTTCTTCCATGCATCTCTCCAGGCCTGGCTGTAGCATAGTCAGGCTAGTGTGGGGCATCCACGACAGGGACAGTTTCTCTGGTGTTCACCCTGTGGCTGTGGCTGTGTCTGGTGTGTTCCGATACCTTAAGAGAAACAGGTCTAATCACAGCTGTAGGGTCTTGCTAATGTCTGATATTTTGTCGAGAATCTGTCTCATAAGATCTCGCATTGCCTTCTGGATATACCCCTCGATGGGTCTATTAGACGCAGAGTGGTACCGAGGTGTCCTGTTGTACCACAATGTGTTCTTGTGGCAGGAACTCTGAAGTCCTTCGCAGTGAACTGAAGCGTGTTGGTAATGACCACATCCAGAAGGACATATGATGCAAACACCCTGCACAGCTTCTCGGTTATATTTTCGGTCATAACTGTGTTCATCATGAATACTTCAACCGTCTTGAAGTATACGTTCGCCAGCACCAAGAGCCATTGGTTGTCGGTGAGTGCGAAATCCAGGTGTATTCATTGCCATCTGTGGCTCGGCTAATCCCAAATTTATAGTGGGGCCTTCCATGAAGTGTTCTGCATCAACTGAGAAATATAGCAACGTATACACTCTGTGCACTCCCACTGCACGCCGCTGCGAGGCTATCAGAGCAGACAGTCGTTGATAGCCCAAGCAGAACCTAAACGCTCTTCTAACGCCTGCTAGCACATTGTTTATCTAAATCATGAACTGCTGTGTAGTTGATTCTGCCAACAGGTACATATCGTGTCCTGTGGGAATGATGTTTCACGATTTCTCGACTCATCTCTGTTTTATTGGGCAGCGAAATGAGTGGAGCACGGCTGTGCGATGTAGAAAGTGTTTAGTTCCTGCTCCCTCTGCCGTACACTCTGCCATGAAATGGCCGATGCCTTAATATATAAATGAATTTGCTTGTAATGTCAAAATGTTCAGCAATAGAATGTTTTTAAAATAACTAATTAGCTTATTTCACACAAAAGCAAAACTAATATTGGTAAAGAATAAGCATGATTTAGATAACCTTAGCATTCAATTCGTTTCGTCTCGCATAGTAAATTGCATATGGCATTATACAATCCCTTGTCGCTAAAACCCAGTGCTGTAGCCCGAAAGGAAAGAACCATTCTTCGGAGTGATTCATCCAGAAATCTTTTTCTTTGATTGGTCAACAATCTGCATGTCAAGAAGAAATTATGCAGGGCGCAGAGTAGCAGAACTACAGTGTAAAAAACGAAG